CGTAATTTGTGTGGCCACCTAGGAATATAAGTTGAACCCCAACTACTAAGCTCGGTGAACAGACCAAAAACCAAAGAAGCGCACATGAGCTACCTATATTGCGCAACACTGCCAGTCTAAGCTTTATTTCCTTGAAAACTTGATCGTGCTTGTTGAAACTATGTTGGTAGTGTGTTCACATGCTGTTTTGTCATCTCTTATAGTTCTTTCCAGCCAGTTTGTGATCTATCGATCACAGACAGTCCCCGACTTACTTAATCTTCTTTAGATGAGTATGCTTTCCGGAGTGGTGTACGCTTTGTTTGCCCAGTTCTAATCCTTGATTACGGTTGAACTAGACCGCACTGGTAGTGGAGGGTTGTGTTTCTTTTAGTGACTACTTCATGCACTCTCCATCTTTAACTAAAAGAGCCCACTCTTTGAGTAAGGTAAACTGTAACTGATGGATACAAGTGCGTTCCATCGTTCTCACTGAACATACTTTACGGTAGCCTAGTGAAGTCAATGAACCAATCTCGAAGTAAGTGAGGCCTCCGGATTTCCCACACATTCCTCAAAAGAGTAAGAGGGAGCTCGGTGTGTACAACTCGCGAAACATTCGATCGAGAGTCAACTGGTTTTGGTTAACCACAGTAGTTGTGTAAAGTGATAACTCTAATAGACAAACTTGCACTTCACGCTTCCAGCATCTGGCATGCAACTTTTGGGAATGGTGGAATTTTCAATTAAGATTTCGTAGTGTAACTGAAGCTTAATTGATCAGGGTTGATCTGTTCGCCGAGCTTGGCAATTGATTTGCAAACGTTTCGTCACCATTCGAGGAGACATCTTCAGTGCGCTGTTGTGTTGTTAGTTCCTCTCTTCGTTCCTGCGTTTGTATAGTTTACAAAAAGCAGCATTTGCGCAGTAATCCGTATTCTGATTGGCCCGATCTTAGGAATCAAGTAATACAAACCACAACGCAACACAGAATAAGATCTGACCAACCAGAGTACAGGTTACAATGCAAAGACTGCCCTTTGTAAACTATATAAATGCATGCACGAATGGTCGGCGGTTGTGGTTGTGCACGAAGAGAGGGAATACCCAACCAACCGTGTTTAGGTTGATTTCATCAGTTAACAAAGGGTAACGTTAACAGTTGTGAGTAAGCTGCGCAATAAACCACACACGCTTGTGATCCTGAGAAGCGGGGTTAGAATGTGTTCAGTTTCATGGTAAACACAGCTTGAGACAGCATATTCTGCACACATAAAACTGGATGCTTCATTCTAATCAATAAATCTTGACAAGATACCAGCAGTAGATAAATTTGGTTGCACAATCAGACAAGATTAACCCCATTACTGCTACTGTAGTCTCCGACCAGAATGAGGTTAACTGGTAAGTATTGCGGTTTACCTACTCAACCCACAACTCTGAGACCAAAACAGCATCTCTTATGCGCTCTAGAAGAACTTGTGCAACAACTGTGGTTCAAAAGACTGTGGCAGAAACTGGCCGCCGAATTCCGTGTCAGACTACGTGCTTTTTAACTATTCTATTGAAATGAAGCATCTAGGAACAATTGCAAACCCATCACTAAAATTGAAATTGAAATCTCTAAGTGGCAGTTACGTTAGTGATGGTAGTGTGAGGGAATTAGGTAATTTCCAATTCATATTTTGTACTGTAAGTGAGGTTAGTCTATGATGAAAAGCCGAGAAGCACTGTGCAGATGTTTCATTGTTATTGGGAGTCATTAGTATGAACCAAACACAACTCCATATGGTCCCGAACCGGCTTGTAGTACGAACCCCTAACCGTCCGGCCACGAGCGTCTGAACGGCATTGTAATTAACTTGCACTTAATGTACAAACCACTAGTCGGGAGGTCGCTGTTTCTGAACTCCTTGGAGTTTCGTGAGATAATGGTGTAATACTGGCTTTTCTCAATAGGATGAAACAGCTGTACAGTGTTTCTTGGTTGGTAATGCTTTGGAATATTGGTAGCTCGGGTGTATTGGTTGGTAATTGATCAGGTGGCTGTTGATCTGTTCGCCGAGCTTGGCAATTGATTTGCAAACGTTTCGTCACCATTCGAGGAGACATCTTCAGTGCGCTGTTGTTTGGGTAGTTCCTCTCTTCGGGCCTGCGTTTATATAGTCCACAGAGAGCAGTCTTTGCGCGACGAAACGTTTGCAAATCAATTGCCAAGCTCGGCGAACAGATCAACAGCCACCTGATCAATTACCAACCAATACACCCGAGCTACCAATATTCCAAAACATTACCAACCAAGAAACACTGTACAGCTGTTTCATCCTATTGAGAAAAGCCAGTATTACACCATTATCTCACGAAACTCCAAGGAGTTCAGAAACAGCGACCTCCCGACTAGTGGTTTGTACATTAAGTGCAAGTTAATTACAATGCCGTTCAGACGCTCGTGGCCGGACGGTTAGGGGTTCGTACTACAAGCCGGTTCGGGACCATATGGAGTTGTGTTTGGTTCATACTAATGACTCCCAATAACAATGAAACATCTGCACAGTGCTTCTCGGCTTTTCATCATAGACTAACCTCACTTACTTACAGTTCATACTAATGACTCCCAATAACAATGAAACATCTGCACAGTGCTTCTCGGCTTTTCATCATAGACTAACCTCACTTACAGTACAAAATATGAATTGGAAATTACCTAATTCCCTCACACTACCATCACTAACGTAACTGCCACTTAGAGATTTCAATTTCAATTTTAGTGATGGGTTTGCAATTGTTCCTAGATGCTTCATTTCAATAGAATAGTTAAAAAGCACGTTGTCTGACACGGAATTCGGCGGCCAGTTTCTGCCACAGTCTTTTGAACCACAGTTGTTGCACAAGTTCTTCTAGAGCGCATAAGAGATGCTGTTTTGGTCTCAGAGTTGTGGGTTGAGTAGGTAAACCGCAATACTTACCAGTTAACCTCATTCTGGTCGGAGACTACAGTAGCAGTAATGGGGTTAATCTTGTCTGATTGTGCAACCAAATTTATCTACTGCTGGTATCTTGTCAAGATTTATTGATTAGAATGAAGCATCCAGTTTTATGTGTGCAGAATATGCTGTCTCAAGCTGTGTTTACCATGAAACTGAACACATTCTAACCCCGCTTCTCAGGATCACAAGCGTGTGTGGTTTATTGCGCAGCTTACTCACAACTGCTAACGTTACCCTTTGTTAACTGATGAAATCAACCTAAACACGGGATCTTCTCACCTGTACCAACTCAGTGCATTCGTGAAGTGTATTTTTCTGTTTCTGTCGTGGTGAAACCATATCTTTGATTATATGTTGAAGATTGTTGATTTTCGTGTCAGCCATCTATTGTGAGTACTAGTAAAACAGGCTAACAACAAGCCGTGGGCGAAATTCCAACCCACATAATACTATCTATTAACGTGCTGGTTGTGTGCCTTTGAGTTCCCGTTCCAAATGTGTGTCCTGTCCTTCAGAATTCCATGGTGCTCACTGGAATATCGGACTTTGGGTTGTCGCAAGAAGAGTGAAACTAGTGGTAAAGCCTTGAAAGGCGTTTGGTAATCTTTAAGCTGGTGTGTTCGACACGAAACTATGCTGAGATATCTTGAATTCGTACCAACTGAAACTTTAGGCAGCCATTGTACAACTAAGTCAGTTGAAGAGTATCACAAACGAGAGGTTCTACAGTCTCCCGTGAGAACCCAGCTGATATGTCGATGAGTGTATTTCTCGAGATTTGTCCAATTTGTTTTCAAGTAGAACATGAGGTTGGGACTCGGAGACCACGCCTACCTGATGACCCCCCAAGAAGGGCGAACCTGGTTACGGACTGTCGAAGAGTTTTCAGAAACCCTGTGAGTAGTTTCGTAAATGAAAATATCCAGTGATATCTCGAATATCTTACCAACTGAAACACAAGGGGGTTCTATGCAGCATATTTAGCTGGAGAATATCCTCAAATGACAAGTTCATATGAGTCTGTCGGTTATAACTAATGTATCTCACAACTGAGTGTACTTCGCAGAAAATACGGGTTCAAGATGAATACCAAATCCTGTCCTGTTTTAAGATTCTACCATACGAGCAGGTGCATATATTTAGTGGATTTACATGGAATTGAAGTGCGCTATTCAGTTCAGCATGCAGGCAATACTAATGGTGACTCTGGAAAGCTCCTTGAAATTTCGGACCTCGTTTTTCAACCACAATGTTGACAGTGGTGTCCTAAAAAACTTCGCCTTGTTTCAACGATCACTTCTGATAAACCGATTGTGACTGACTTCTGTATGCGTTGACATGAGCCGACTGNTGCTGGCGACTTTCTTGGTGGATGACTCATTAATATACCGGATAGATTCTCCGGCCAGTTGTTGCCTGAAAAACATCTAACCGTACAAAGTTTCAGTCATCAAGAACCTGTTTTGAATTCAGTTGTGAATGCATCAGGCTTTCTTTCAGCATGACCTTCCTACGGTTTTTCGATATTCACACCACTATAAGTCATGCTGAAAAAGGTCACTCCAGCACCTCATCGCTGATCCATGATCAATACCAAGATTTAATTTACGACACTACTCAACCTAGATCAAAAGTTGGCCAAATGTACGATAGTTTTGACTTTTTTAAGGGCTGGAAAGTCACCAGTTTGGATGGGACAGTTTTTGTATTAACATAAAAGGAATTTTTCTTTGAAGCAGCTAGAAAGTAATTTTAATAAAGTAGGTCCTTCCCTAGCGATTTCAGCTGCCTGTAACTCGGACATTTTTGAATAGAATAAGAAGAACCGTTGCGCCCAGACGATCCTTAAAAATTTAAAACCGTCGAGGTCGAAGCTAGCCGACGCATCTGGAGTTCACCTGTTCTTACATAAACGGTTCATTTTATCCATGTTTCACGGAAAAGATTCACGAACGCTCTACTTGGTAGAATATGACTTCATAATCTTGAAAAACTTCTCCGTATTCCTCTATTTCTTATTGTATCGTAATTCAGGGGCGTAAAGTTGTCCCAAAGTTTCGCCGTCGTGCACAGACAACATTTTTTGGCCCTACACCACCCGACGTGGCGCTACAATCCTACCGGACGGTATATTTCCGCGTGAGATTTTACATTCCACTCCACTGTCTTCGTGAGCGAGACACGCAACATTTGTATTATGAACAGTTGCGTACCAATCTACTAGAGTACGGCCTCTACTGTGACCTAGCTACTTACCTCGAACTGGCCGCACTGGCCCTGCAAGCCGAGTACGGTAATGCGCCCACTGATTGTTTGGATGAGGAGCTAAACGGTCAAACGATTCCTGTCTATTTTGACCCGGAAGGAATTTATCCGCATCAGGTGAGTCAGACCCAAAAAACATCTTGAAGCAGCGAAACCGCAGTGAGTACGACGGTACCTGGAAGAACTTCGTCATTTCAGTCCTTTTCCCATAATGAACAGAGTCGTTTCCTCTTTCCTGCGTTTGAAACCATGTCTATTCTTTCTATTGAGGTCCTCTGTTTCTGGATGTATCCACCGGAGCCTTCCAGTACAGGCTTTTCAACGGGGATGGATCCACAATTGTAATCACATTGGAAAATTGATATAAAGCGAATAGCAGAAACCTTGCTTCTGAGTGTGTGGTGTCTGTATCTAGGGCTTTTGTGGATACGCTTCGCATGATAAAAAGTCACCTTTTTAGTAATGTGTCGGCTGATTAATGAAGGTATAGAGTAGGAGCTTTTTTCCGCGAACAGGTTCACTGGTTATTACGCAGGCCGTTCCTTCGTTTACTGGTGGAAGGAAGAAGGCCTTCGCTGCGGAGTTAATTAGAAAATGCCAACTGACCAGTTACAGACTATTGGACAAGGGAGCAAAACTCTCATATGCATCTTGTTTACAAAAACATAATATCCATCTTCTCTTGATCGCGTCTTCCTGGATATTCACTGACTGTTACTCAAGTCCAAGCAAATGCTACAAAGCAACTCCACAAATTCCGCAATAGCTCTCCTTTTTTAGGAGACGCAAAGCGAATTTGCAAGAAGAAAACATGCTGTTCGCATGCGTCCCATCAGTAGTATCACCTTCGTATATAAAATGGTGGAGTTTTAGGAATTCTCAGCTTTTGTGGCGCAGATCTACATCACTTTAGGGCATTTTTGTGCCCCAAAAGCCGCCAGATGCCTGCCGTGTCCTGGGTAAGTTTAGAAAGCTCGCCTGGTGCATCAAGTCATTAGTAGTATGAACTTCCATGTTTGGAGAATAACACCGGTAAATGCAGCGGTCTGTTTACCTTTCAGCACTCTATCCAAAATCCTCCTGCTCCGCACCGGCGAGACCATACATCTAACTTCTAATGAGAGGATGTCACAATATTTAGTGTATAAATATGAGCGAAGTATCTTCGCTTGAAAGTAATGATCTGAAATTGAACGGGTATGAAATTGTTCTCAATGGCTCTATCAAAACGCAGAAACAGTGCACTTCCGTTCAAGTGCGAGGCTGCGTGTCAGAAACGTTCCGTCATATAACTAACGGTCTGTGGGTATGGATTGTTTTGAAGTGTGATGAGCGCTCAGCCGATGTTCTATCCTGACATCTGTTGCCAAAATATAATATTGCAACATCCGTTCTTGATAAACCCATTTTATCGCCCAAACCAGTGTAAATTTTTTCAAATCTTTTCTTCGTTGCAGATGCTACAAGAGTACTCAAGGGAAGGGCTGCTTCGCATGACCTTTCGTCGTCATATGGCACTCCAGGACATGCCGCGTCGTTCAGCGGAATTCCACTTCATCCGGCTAGGGTCAAAACGCACATCCAACTTCAATAAGCATTTATACAAGCTCGCACCGATGAGTCAGTCCAACTTCACCGTATGGCTTGGGGTCAGTCCCGACGGGATTGAGTTACATCAGGTAAGGTGGAATTCGAGGACATCGAGCGTCTTCTGAAAAGCAATGGGGCGTCCTTCTTTGACTGATCTGAAATGATTAAGATCCTTACCATATGACTTTCCAAATTCTTGTAACTTGGTGACTAAATCCAGCAGCCCCAATTTCTATCGACTGTAACCCGTTTAACCTGGACAGGTGTTTCGGCAACATGGATAATTGACTGAAGGGACGACTCAGGCTACTTACTAGAATCTATGGGCGATTCGGGCTGCGGTACAAATTCCTGTCTTGCGTATCTTGCGTATCTGTCTCCCTCTCGTTTTGGGTCTGGATCCAGGCCGTTTTAAAAAAAACATCGTTTACCTAATCCTCATAGAAACTTTCTGATTCATTCCACCGCGGATTTGCTGATGAATTAGGCAGCAGCTCAGTCAGGGTCACTAGCACAACTTCCAAAACACCGCTTTCATTCTGGTGAAAGAAATCGCTTCACTGAATAGATCGATGAGAAGTAATCTCTTGATATTTTGCAAAGCATAGTTTGGCCCATCAACCAATTTATTTGGCCCCTGATGCAAAGCGAGCTTTCTTGAAGTTCCAGGTGACCTCAAACTGCATGTGTCAGTCGGTTTAAAATAATACAGGGTCACTGAACACTTGTATGTACACAGCAAGTCCGTCTTGCAGCCGTTAGTGCTCTGGAACGAAATGTGAGCTTAAAAAACTGTCGGGGTAGCCTTTACTAGTAGCTAAATAACCCCCTCCCCCGGGATGAGTGGAGCTGTTCGCATGCGTCCCATCAGTAGTATCACCTTCGTATATAAAATGGTGGAGTTTTAGGAATTCTCAGCTTTTGTGGCGCAGATCTACATCACTTTAGGGCATTTTTGTGCCCCAAAAGCCGCCAGATGCCTGCCGTGTCCTGGGTAAGTTTAGAAAGCTCGCCTGGTGCATCAAGTCATTAGTAGTATGAACTTCCATGTTTGGAGAATAACACCGGTAAATGCAGCGGTCTGTTTACCTTTCAGCACTCTATCCAAAATCCTCCTGCTCCGCACCGGCGAGACCATACATCTAACTTCTAATGAGAGGATGTCACAATATTTAGTGTATAAATATGAGCGAAGTATCTTCGCTTGAAAGTAATGATCTGAAATTGAACGGGTATGAAATTGTTCTCAATGGCTCTATCAAAACGCAGAAACAGTGCACTTCCGTTCAAGTGCGAGGCTGCGTGTCAGAAACGTTCCGTCATATAACTAACGGTCTGTGGGTATGGATTGTTTTGAAGTGTGATGAGCGCTCAGCCGATGTTCTATCCTGACATCTGTTGCCAAAATATAATATTGCAACATCCGTTCTTGATAAACCCATTTTATCGCCCAAACCAGTGTAAATTTTTTCAAATCTTTTCTTCGTTGCAGATGCTACAAGAGTACTCAAGGGAAGGGCTGCTTCGCATGACCTTTCGTCGTCATATGGCACTCCAGGACATGCCGCGTCGTTCAGCGGAATTCCACTTCATCCGGCTAGGGTCAAAACGCACATCCAACTTCAATAAGCATTTATACAAGCTCGCACCGATGAGTCAGTCCAACTTCACCGTATGGCTTGGGGTCAGTCCCGACGGGATTGAGTTACATCAGGTAAGGTGGAATTCGAGGACATCGAGCGTCTTCTGAAAAGCAATGGGGCGTCCTTCTTTGACTGATCTGAAATGATTAAGATCCTTACCATATGACTTTCCAAATTCTTGTAACTTGGTGACTAAATCCAGCAGCCCCAATTTCTATCGACTGTAACCCGTTTAACCTGGACAGGTGTTTCGGCAACATGGATAATTGACTGAAGGGACGACTCAGGCTACTTACTAGAATCTATGGGCGATTCGGGCTGCGGTACAAATTCCTGTCTTGCGTATCTTGCGTATCTGTCTCCCTCTCGTTTTGGGTCTGGATCCAGGCCGTTTTAAAAAAAACATCGTTTACCTAATCCTCATAGAAACTTTCTGATTCATTCCACCGCGGATTTGCTGATGAATTAGGCAGCAGCTCAGTCAGGGTCACTAGCACAACTTCCAAAACACCGCTTTCATTCTGGTGAAAGAAATCGCTTCACTGAATAGATCGATGAGAAGTAATCTCTTGATATTTTGCAAAGCATAGTTTGGCCCATCAACCAATTTATTTGGCCCCTGATGCAAAGCGAGCTTTCTTGAAGTTCCAGGTGACCTCAAACTGCATGTGTCAGTCGGTTTAAAATAATACAGGGTCACTGAACACTTGTATGTACACAGCAAGTCGGTCTTGCAGCCGTTAGTGCTCTGGAACGAAATGTGAGCTTAAAAAACTGTCGGGGTAGCCTTTACTAGTAGCTAAATAACCCCCTCCCCCGGGATGAGTGGACTGGTGATTACATTATCCCCGTACTGTTCATGAAGAGTGCCATGAGTCTTATTTCAGCAAGAACGCCAAGAAACCAGCCATTTCCACTGTACAGACGACGTTCTCCAGCATATCGCAACAGGCGGCACTGAATCCACTGGACAAATTTTCGCGTTGCATAACGTAGATGAAAAGGAATAGGAGCACTTCAGACGTCTTCACAAATGTATTATAAAAGGATGGTGACCTCACAAGTGACTGCTTGTGTAGCGTAGGTGACCGGCCTTGAGAAGTGGTTGTTTGTCGAGGTTGGCTGGCGTTCTCTGTGTACGTTTGTGTTACCCCTAACAATGCACCTTACGGAATGCCCCATTCTAGTGGGGAACCTAGTGACGTTCCGGTTACTTGCTTGCTCGTGATAGGATATAGGCTTTATCAAGTCAGTTGTCTTGGTTTCGCACACGTTTACCCGTCATATATTTACGGCGCAGTGCCAAACCAAATGTGAACTGTGGAGAGTTGAAAATTACGCTCCATTTGCCTTTTGGGAGGCGGGTCACTTAGCACACTTCGTGGAAAACGGTTGAGCAATTACGATATTCCGATTAATGAACCTCTCAAGACCACTTCGTCTTGTTGTGAAGTGACGATCTGTTAGGAGCACCATGAGAAAAATATATATATATATATATATATATTCACATGAAGTCAACACAAACCAGAAGGTATAAGATCGGTTCTTTAGGGGCCGCTAACTGGTCTAAGCGATGGCATTACAGTAAACTAATCTTTTTTGTCTGTTTCTTCATGTTCCCATAGTAAATCAACCCTCCTTTACTCAGTCATCTACAGCTACCCACCAAGGACTCCCAGATAGGGGCATTTGGGCTGTATTGGATAAGAAATTTTAGGAAAGTTGAAGTATGAAAGTAATTAATTACAGCAAGATTACTTCAGCTTAATTGTTGATGCCTGGCGATCGACAGGATGTCGTCCGAGTGCGGGTGGGACCAGAGACCCAGCAGTCCCAAGATACCACTGGTTCTGATGCATTAGAAGCGATTCGGTTACAAATAAATCGTTTACTCCTACACTGAAACATGTGCGTTCATAAAGGCAGAAATCCTGCTTGCAGCCATGGCTCATACCCAGTTTGTTATCACCCAAGCGTTGTATCGTGTGGGTTTACAGACTACTCCGTGAGATGAATTGAAGTAGTGAGCAGCCTTGAGTTTGAAATCTGAAAAAATGCTGCAAGCCTGAAATTTCGGACATCTATTAACATACTTGAATAAGTTGATTGTAACCTTGCCAAGAACAAATATACTCCTTCACTCCTCCTCCTTCCGAGAGGTTTTCGTCGGCTAATGGCTTTCACTCGTGGAAACTAACGATTTTGTTAAATTCAGACATTTTTATCAAAATTTGTCTGAACCTACACCCACTAGCTGTCGAATAAGTTTACTTGTGTCTCACCTCACCGTATCAGCGAATTTTATTGTGCTTCCAGGCACCACATCGTCTTTATAACATGAAATGGTTAGTTGTGTTTTTGTTTCCTTCAACGAAACTTATTTTTTTACTTATTTACTTATTTTTTCACTTGGTACACACTTGACCAAGGTTGGTTGAAAACGATCACCAAGTAGAACAATGGTGTCTTTGTTGAAATCCTGAAAGTAGCAAGTACCTGCAACCTAATTGGAGAGACTGCTGGTTGCATGAAAACAACTGGTCAGCTTGCAATACTCGAACAACTTTTGGAACCAGGGGACCAATTTAGCTTTCGCAAAGCCGACGTGTGTGACGTACGTTGCTCGTTTGGTAGGCTCAGTGAGCCGTAAGCGCATGAATGCGTGTTGGTGTGCATAACAGGTGTAAACGTCGTGCCAATGCTCAGCCAGTAATTGGACCTTGACACCCGTACCGCAGGGCCTCCAACGTTCGATCGACTGACCGCTGAGCCCAACAATGAGCTGCTTGTCCATTGAAATATCCACCTAAGTGCACCACTCAAGACTTCTTTCTTCTCTGAAGTAGATGGGTCCCATCTTTTGTGGGACGAGGTAATTACGCCAGCTGTTCGCATAGAGCTATTCGAAAGCTGGATCTGGCCACTGACCGTTGTATGAAGGCTCGAGGAACAGATAAAGAAAAGCTTGTTCGCTAATTGCCAAACCTTGTCATGCCATCCTGCTCAGGTATTAATTACCAACCTCCAGATTAACAACTCTGAATTATTCACACTGTGCTGTCTGCCCAAGCCACGAGCGTCTGCATAATTGAGTTCCACCGACTACAACTTATTGCGATATCATTTAGAAACCCATTTCCGACTATATCCGTCTTTACTTTTTCGAGGAACCGTTCTGGAGGGATGCATTTCATGGTAAATAGAAGTGTCACATACAGAACGTTCTCAGAACTAGGACCATTTGCATGTCCACGAATATTATACCTTTGTTCTCTCAGCTTATGCAGGAAGTCTCCCCACACAGGAGTTTTCGTGTATTAACTGTGGAAAAGGATATATAGTCATATGCCCATGCTATCATCCCGTTCATTCCAGCAAATTAAGAGCGGATGGATATCCCCGACCAGCCTAATCTTATGGCGAGACATTTACTGCATATCACAAAAGGTAGGTGACAATTTTAGCAGGAGAGTAATCATTGTGTTCCACAGTGTTGATTGGTCCACAATTTGTCTTTGAGTCTTCTGTTTGTCCGACCATTTTATATGGATGAGCCTTTGGTATTGTATAACCTTGACGAGGTGTGACAGAGTCCAGCTATTTTCCTCATTGCAGTATGTGCTCACAGATGAAATATCGTACATGTTCTCCCCGTTCTTCAACTTTTTGCAAGTTTTGCCTCCTGTTGTAAGACTTTCAGTCAACCATTTGTTACTTTCTAAAAGCTACAGTCATTAGCAGCTTAGATGTTTGATAGTGAACAACAATACAGAAGTATAGCGTCCCCTTCTTCAGCACACCGATTTCGACTGTCATAAGTTTGCCCATTAGCTTACAAGGTGAAACAAGCTCACCTAGATCTGGCATAAGTTCAACGTTTTCAACCCTGGTTAGGTATGTTTGTAGATTTCTACTAGTTGTGTTGAACAGTGCTGGTTTTAGGTCTATATGCACGTTCAGTCCAATAAATAAGGTATTATTCTCAAAATCAACCATTGAATAACTTAACTAGACTGTGTACAAAAGAACTCAGCTTGTTCTTACGAAGTTGATGCATTGGACATTACCAAACCTTTTAGTTCTTGGCCAAATGAATGTTGAAACGTGTTTTACCCTGCTTTTTTAAACCATATGGAACTGCATTCGCTTTAAGTGGTTCTTGGCTCCAGAATTCATCTTTTCCTGCCAAGCGCAAATATATACCTGTCCAAGGGCAACGGGTGGTCAACTCAAAGCTATTACAACTGCATGGAATGCATTTTATTTCACGGAAATACTTTGAGACTTTTACCGTCAGCCAATCGGCCATAAAATAATGTTTGCCGTTTTGTGTTAAAACAAGAGAGTGATAATGAGTGAGGAACTGGCATCTAAACACTGGAGAAGCAATACTGGGTTGTCAATGAGTTGTTGTAACCCACCACAGTCTGTCTTTACAGGGGAAATTAATCCCGTATACTGAGCGTCCGTTCAATTAGACCCTTCGGTCAGCAGTTGACTGCATATTAGTTGAACCTCCTTTGAATCGCGTATTATCGAAATTAATGCTTATGGCAAGAAAGTGGGTCGATACTACAACCCTCTACACATTGCTTGTGAAGAACATTGTAAAGGAAGGACTTAGGAATAACTGCGGGACTGAAGGAAATCTGGTTCACATTGCCGTAGTCAGTTCAGGCTCGTTGGAGTTTTGTTTTGATCATGATCAGTACTTATCTGACGCAACTCACTTCCGTGAAATCACTTGTCTGCCATTGCCCATTGGATGCCCCCATAGACCAACTAACCTGTGTATACTTGCTATCAGATATGTGATCCTCACTTAAGTCGGTGTTTCGATCATGCCACGCACTTTGTGAAAATAGCCACTTAGAATCCTAAAGGCTTATCCACTATACGTAGGCTAGCCGGCGTTTACCAACATGTGTTTTTATAGGCAGACAAATCATCGGCTGATGGGCTTATACGGTTTTGAACCAGAAGCCTCCTAGTTGAGTTGCCGGTCTTTTGCATCAACCATCAAATGCTGACTGGAAAATGTAAGCAGAGGATAAAAATAGTGATGGTTTAAAAAAATAAAATACACGAAGCTCTATCTAACAAACGATTATCCTACCAGTTTGTGCCATTAGGTTGTCATGTAGTCTGTTGCAGTGTGTCCGATGCATCCGTCCGATGGGTATAATCTGCGGATTCTGGGTTATTATTTTGAAAATTCGAACCCCCAAGGCATGATTTATCCAGTTTTCACCCTTTTGCCACTGAAAACCCGCTTAATTATTTGGCCACATTTCAGCAAATGAACTTTTGGAAACTATATTGCTCTTCGTTCTTTAGTACAAAAGAGGGGTAATCGAGTTTCGGATGTCGCATTGGGGGCGAAGAACTCGAACATGTAGAGGCAGTGTGGTTATAAGTTTCATCAGATGTACACAGACAGTCTCGGTTCACATAAAAGACAAGGGCTATACGTATGACTGTATATATCATAAGACATTTTGTCACATTAACTCCGTGTTTCTGCATTCCAGGAGCGTGTCCTTATTGTGCATTTGTACGCGCGGAAAACAGTGCGTAAATTCCAGTTTGAGCACGGCCTTTCGTCAAAACACATGTTTGCCTTGGTCAGCCACATGCATTTTTTCCAACTCCGAGCTGAGCTTTCCGCTCCGTACTCGGCTGGATTGTTAGAGCACATCGGTAAGTTCATCAAGTGTGTTGAGTATACTTGTTGATAAAGTGTAATCGATATAGATTTATTCGTAAGACCTTCGGAGGTGATGGGATAGTATGCGAAATCCGAGTTAGGGTTGCTTCAGTCACCCTGTTTGTTCGTTAACACGTGAAGGACACTCACAAACGAACAGATCTACCTAAAGCCACTGGCATAGCAATATGCTGTCCGACGAATGTGTTCGTGTTCATGGTCCTCATCATGGCGGTGAGACCAGCATGAGAATACTGCTGATTGAGTGATATCATGTATAAAATAGCAGAAATAGAGGAAAAAGGGTTCAAGCTCCAGTCCTCTCTAGATATCCGGGGTGTTCATATCTCCAAACATTCCGTCAGATGATCTGGAGAGAAATTGATAGAATAAGTGACACTGGCGTTGCCTGGCGATCATATCATGTGATAACCCAGCTGGGCACAGGGGACTCCTGCGAACTCCATCTTCCAAAGCTGACGGCACCCATACTACTCAGACTCCTCCAATTCTCTCTGATTTTCTTCTGTCATTCCTCGACCAGCTCTTTATTTGCACTATTTCGAATTCGGAATGGGAAACAACTGTCGTCTCCGCAGCTGGACATGCTTAGCCCAACTTACATTGCTGTGTGGACTTTACGAGGAAAATATCTGGTTTTGGGTTTCACAGATCACTTATTTGTTCGGGCCTCCAGCTGTGTTTTTGAAATCACAAGGCATCTTAGACCCTCTGTTCACAAAGTCTAATTCATGCAACCCCAAAACAACACAGCCCGTACTGCAGATGGATACACACAACTCCTCAAGTCTAAAGACAGACAGTTCTGACGCCATAGGTGGCGTAAACTGGCGATTGTGATCCTGGCCTTCGATCGCACCTAACTTCATTTTTTACTTTCCTATAAATGTTTTCCCCTCCAAAACTAGCCTTTTCTTTGCATAGCCTCGTTAAGCTCGGTGTAATACCGAACTGAAAGTTAGTAATCACGAAGTTAGTGTCTCGTAAATCTCTCTACCACATGGCTTATAGATTCGCCGGTTACCATGGTAACTCTTCGTGGGCGATTTACATAGGCCGATTCATAATTCGTATAGATGGTATAGATGAAATCGTTCTGTGATCAAAACGTCAGCCCCCAAGATACCTTTCACCTCTCCTATTGCTGCTTTACGTTCGTTGCCAAGAGAATGCCGTATGGTCAAGTCGCTTGCACTCGGGACCATAAACCTCAGTTAGTCGAGTTACTCTGAGTTGGTGGCGTTTAGAGATTAAAGGCATATCAATCCAAATCATCAGTTCCCTCCATGAAGAATGGGAACACATGAAAGTAATCCGTAGAAATAAAATGGTCTTGCCTGATTTATATCAAACAGATTCGTCAAAGGAAGTAAAATAAAGACCATAGGTGGGCAGCGAGAATAAATTTCTCAGGTGGAGTATGGCAAAGGAGTGCTGGAGGTGCTTATTATTCTGGGTACCTGCGAACTAACGTGAGCAGGTACCTGAGCTACCTGAGCTAACGTGAATAAATCATCCAGATGGCTGCCATCGCACCATATTGTAAGACAAGCAGCCTCACTCAAGTGGGAGGGTAGCTCAACAGACCAGATAGGCTGTGACCTTCACTGAAAAGCAAAAGTACTCGCAAACAAGGCGATTTGAATCCTCAGCAGTTTCCCTTCCAATTCGGAGGACTCCTTCAAAAGTTAGTCGAAACACAATGTTTCCCTTCTGCTTGACAAAACTAGATAGGCTGTATGACTTGATGCAACATGCTACGCATCACGCGACTGAAAACTTTTCAATAAACTCGACCGGTTTTACACTTCTTGGAGTTCATCGTCATGCTCTACTTGAACCGACGCTGTCATTTCCAGACCCATGTTGTCGATTATCTTTATAGAGGACAGACAGCTTGAACAAATCGCTCGCAAGTTTAGCGAGGAAGTTGGTACAGTACTGGCGGGTACAGTAGGTAGTTGTCGAGTTGGGAGTGCCCATAAACTCTTGTCAACATCTGTGAGTCTCGACGAGTGTCCAGGAACGGTACTACATCGCCGCTTCAGAACATCCCATATCTGACTACAGATTTCGTGAGTGAATCTCATTCAGGCACTTGATCTCCACTTTGAATTGTCCAGGAAACCTCTTGACCTAAGGTGTATTACCGATCTTGATGGCTTCCGAAGATACTTGAAAACTGAATACGAAAACATATCGGCTCGTATAAACGTGGATCGAAAGGAAAATTTAGATGGTTATCAAATATCCGCTACATCATATTCACTGAAGACGTAGAAGTCAGTGTCGGACATTTTGTCTTTCAGCCGTCATTGGAGAACAGACTTTTGCAGTTTTGCCACATGATATCAGCAGTGAAAAGGGAATGTGAATGCCCTCAAGCTATGGGGGTTGTGGTATATAAGTGACGAAGCAGATAGGTGTGTCGAATTAGTCAATTTTATGAATCAGCGATTGCCAGATAGCGACTGATCCCAGACAACCAACCCATCATACACCTCTTCCGCTACTGGTGAGTCCAACACACCCTGTTTTATGCGCGTAAAGTCAACAGTTCATAACTGGTGTACGCTGGCTTCGAACTCTGGACGCCTCTTGGATTCTATGGACGATGCGCTAAGCTCATACCACAAAAATCAATGACTCAAAGGTAGGCATCATGGCAGTTTCTCCAGACACTTCAACGGCTATGTTTTTAGATGAAACTGAGATGTATATTGCGCACATATGCGACATGGACAGTCCGTAGGCGATATCAGATCAAGCTAGTTGGGTATGTATGACGACATATCCCTTCCCAAGGTCGCCAGTGAGCTCACGCTCTCTGTCGAGCATGTTCTACAAGGACAAGCTCCAGTAATATCCAAGATATGCAAATGTACGGTTTGTTACCCACACAATACATATAGGCTGTTATATACTGACGTCGTGTTTAACTTTTTACTCGCTATTCGTTGAGCCAAATTGTTCCTAATGTTTTAGCTGATGTACTGAAATTGACAGAAGATTAAAGCCAATCATTCGGCAATCCTCACTCCCTGTTTCTGGCACAATCATTCGAGTGCGCAACATAGGCATCTAGTACATTGGCTTCACTCTTACGCTACGTATATTTGCCCTCGTGAGACGTGTACCCGGATGGTCAAATCGTAGGTCTACATTTGATCAACCTGGATATTGATTCAAATGCCCGGTCCATTACTGATTGCAGGTATCTTTCATGATAAAACTACACTTATTGTTCTGTTAGTTGAAGCTGGAAAGATGCTTTTTGTACGTGACACTTTATCCTTATTGGTTGTTGATCAGGTGGCTGTTGACCTATTCGCCGAGCTTGGCAATTGGCTTGCAAACGTTTCGTCACCGTACGAGGGGGCATCATCATTGCGCAGGGATCAACTGATGACGTCTCCTCGTATGGTGACGAAACGTTTGCAAGCCATTTGCCAAGCTCGGCAAACAGATCAACAGCCACCTGATCAACAACCAATAAGGATAAAGTGTCACGTACAAAAAGCATCTTTCCAGCTTCTCCTTAGATTCCATCCCTGTGAAGCTGCGCTATCTCAGTTTCCCATGGATTGTTTAAAATGTGGACCCAAGTTTTCTGTCTCAATTAATGGAAGATATCCTGATTATATAAAGCAACATCTGATTATAGTAGTCTTTCGCAGACCGGTTTCTAACCCTAATTTGCACGCGCTTTTGATGAATCATCACGAAAAGAACCAAACGGCTTGACTGAGTACAATGCTTGAGCCTAATACTTGTTTCCATTCTGAAGTCGGAATAGCCCGGTTTGAGAAGCCATTGTATCTTATGATTTTTCTCGTTTAATTCCTTTTCAGAACGAGGATACTATGAAGAGCGCTATTTATGACAATGATTGAGAATAAGTATATTTGGGGCATTCTGATTCTACACTGAGTGCACTTATGTTCGCTGTAACTGGGACCTTCGCTACTCCATCAACTTTTCATATCGACACGTCTGCTTGACCGAGATTTACTTATTTTCCCACCACTTTTTACTTTGTCTACTGTTATCAACCGTCTTGTTATCAAAGTGAAGAAAATTTCGATTTTCTCACGTCAGTTCTTAAAATATTTGTTGTTGTCGTTGGAGCTCCTCTTATCAGGTGAACAGCCTATCAGTCACCGTAATACGAGTAAGATGGTTTTCTCATTAGACCGCTCGTGATTTGAGTGGTTCTAAGCAATATGGTCGCTCAAGTGTTTGCGTTCGCTATGTTCAGGTCAGAGGCTATTCGTAGCCTGAGCGCCGTTTGAACACTCACAGCCATAAATAACACTGGAATTTTCAGCATAAACAGCAATAAAGCGACTTTTCTTCTGGGCAGTTGGCGTTTTAGATGGAAGCATGAATTCGCCTGAATCGAAGTAAAACGACAGAACCTAAACAGAACTAGCATTGTCCACTCAGTCACCAAGTCGGACGCGATGGTGGGAACTAAAAACGCAACAATAAGACCTGGGTAATAACGATCTAATTGTGCTGTTTCTTGGATGTCAGTGGGAAGTTGATAGGGCATATTGCTCATAATGTTACTGAAAACTTTAACAGTCGGTGGGTACTGTTGCCTTTCTAGGGACCCATTAGGTGGACCCAGTATCCGGGTTTTACTCAAACTTTTGTTCTATTTGAACTCAAATTGTACGGTGCCCTTGAATGGCGATCATTTTCACATTAGTTTGGTTTGAGTTGTTACTCAAATGAATCCAGGTGGATCTCTCTTTCACAAGCTTCATCAAGCGGATATGCCGCACAAGACCGCCTCATGTTCCCTTGGTACAATATCGAAGATATTGCAGTACTAATCATGAAGCTACTGAAAATTCTTCGACAGCTAACGACCGATTTCATCCTTCTTGGTGCTTACCAGATGGGAGTATTCCCAGAGTTTCCGTCAGCCCTATATTCCACCTGAAGAACATCATGAATGTGAGGGACAGCCGAATTCGACTGAGTTACCTATCAAAACAAGATGAGTGCATTTTGTCGTTGATCGAATTCTTTGGTGAGTAGGCTATTAGGAGGGAATCGCTGCACTACATTTAGGTTGAACGAATTCATAGAAGTCATCACGCACGTGGCGTGACAGGTACGTTTTAATGGCCTGGTTGCAGAAGATCCTTAAACGACACACTTAATTTCTACTTGTTAGCCACAACGAACACAGGGAGAGAGATGGCCCAAGTGGTTAGAGCGCGAAGTTGCTGACCGGAAGGTTCGTGGTTCGAACTCGACCTCTGCCTCTCGACTTCCCCTGTCTAGGCTTGGGCGACCTGACAGTATCCCAACCCTCGTGCTTCCTTCGTGTTGCATGGCAGCTAGACAGCCAAAGGGTGTCACAGCTGAAAGAAGTTTGTCATATTTTGCATCCTGTTTATAGGTCAAAGTAATAACAGAAAGACCGTCATTGTGCAGTTTGCCGCTTACCGGACAGGTGCTGTACTAACTGACATGACGTGACATAGAGCCGCACGGTATAGTTGCGCTTAATTTCACACGGATTGGTCACATTTCTACCCAGTGTTTGGATAGCGATTACCGGATGGTCAAAAAGTTTCCCAGGCCTTGTTCTATATGAAATATTTGCACAAGCATTTCAGCCGACACTGAAATAACCTGTAAAAAGGGGAGCATCAAATGATGAAATAGAGGCTCAGTAAATTTGTAGCGACTACTACGACCAACTTCGTGACAACCCAATGAAATCTTTACTGCAAATTGGCGCAACATCGTAACCGGGACAGTAACTGGGGGTGCAACAAACCGAAGTCTGACCAGGAATGTTGGACTTGAAATAATAACAGTCGTTTCCTTTTATCGCTGTATCAGAGGTCCGTTGCTTCTAACTTCTCTAAAACAGCCAAAGCGACCGCAACTAGATACCTAGCATGAACGGCCTCTACAGCAACCTTACAGAGCAGAACCATAGTCCACTGTGGCAGGCACTCGAACTAGTGAGGATCTAAGCCGAAAAGGTTACGTTGAGAGTGGCATGGTTTTAATACATTCGTCTAAGTGTACTGTTAATAAGAAAGTATTTCGAACGTGAGTGTACCCCGACAGGTTTGCACGATTGGAACATAAAATTGATAGGAACTCGGAGACTACGCCTGTTGCTGAGCCCCAAGGAGGACGAAACCTGCAGTGAGCTGTCAAAGAGTTTCAAATGACTTCATCGTTAGTGGTGCTTCAAGATAATATACTGTAGTACATAGAACAACATACCAATTGAAAAATGGGGCAACAATTGTGCAGTACATTCGGTTAAAGTATAACCTGACCAGTCATTTGTGGTGTCGAGTGATTTGTTTAACTCCCTGGCGTAGCTAGTCAGTGACCGAATTTTTCACCAACTATGGCGTTGAGGAATTGTTAATCTGCTAATATGCAAAATTTATTCATTTCCTGACAAAATCTTCCTAAGGACGAGGCATTTTCTGCCACCACCCTTGAACTGAAGAGTTCGAAATTGATTCAGTTCTTCTTGAAGCATGTAAAGGGTTCAGGATAATCACTTTCATGGAGGAAGACTCAACAATAATGCCATCCAGGAATTGGGTTTGACTGTGGTAGGATAAGTATCCTCATGACTTACGTGCTGTTCAACACGCAACCGACAATTCTCGCGAAGTTTCATTTGGTTGAGCTCGTATTGCAGGCACCAGCTGAAAATGGTGTGTTGGAAGCAGATGTCTGATCAGGTGAACCTATGACATTACGTCCCGTATGCATCAGTTATTCCTGGACCATCAGTGCAGTGGTCCACATTTAAGCACACATGATGTGATGGGAACTTGAGACTATGAATTGGAACTGTTCATACCGGGAACTGTTCCCAAGGTCTCTGGTATAGGGTGTGCAAATCGATCTCGCCCGTCATTTTTCCTACCCATCACTCAATTTGGCCTGTGGTCTTCATGGTGTGAATGAGATAGGATTTACTTGATACAACACGCTTATAATACCATAAACGAGGAATTTGATAGAGTCTCTCCTGGGCACTAAAGTCATTTGCAATTAAGTGTATTTCCTCCAAAGCCTCTTTTACCTAATCAGCAGTCTTCAAGAGAGTCGAAAAGCTGAATCCAACCAGAATTCTTGTTTTACTCAGCCAATCGAAACGCGTCCTTTTGTGAACCGGTGTAGCGGTCAACGTTTCAGGACGTGCCAGCTATAGACTGGGTTGTGGCAAACTTTTGCATGTCTTTCACAGTCTTGAGGTTGTCAGGTCCCTCTGATATTTTATCGAGAAACAAGATATGTCAGGGTTTGCTGTTACAAACTTTCACAAAGTCCAAGAGTACGAGGAATTTTGAGCTTTTTATGCTGTCTTGCCATCCAACTTAGTCACTGCCTACAGCTGAAGGTCGTACGGCCTACGGATCCAACACTGCGCCAAATGAAGTTCTGTGGGACGGCGCTTCACTAAAATTGGTCCACATTACTTCATATTATTGGGGAACTAAGGTGAGACTGATGGACTGGCTTCTAATGACGGAAACATATGCCCGTATTGGAAAGCATGGCCGAAGCACTCCAGAAAATGTGAATACCTGTTTGAGAGTGGTAGAACCATCCCTTCAATTGTATATTTATCTGGCTACTTAAATAACGATTGAATCGACCAATAGGCAACAAGCATAATAACAGGCCTTTAAAGCTGGTTAAAACCGAAAAGGATGAAATACACAATAATGACTACTGGTGGATTCAGAACCCTTTCGGTAAACCGCTAATCCAATTACTTTTCTATGCAGAAAAATAATACTTGTAGCGCCCGAACAAGGTTCCGTGTCATTTAGCATTTACACGTTTCGTAGTCTTTATTTCGTTTCTTCTGCATCCTGGTGTCCATTCAAACGTGGTTTGAATTCTTTGTGTTTTGGAATTGTTGGGCAATTGTTATTGCCCCCTGAGTGAATGCTCAAAAGTTAACTTTCTGTAAACGCATCTGGACCCTATCAATAGCCGCTAATTTTGTTCAGGTTAACACATTTTTAATCCCTCTCAACGGTGACACAACGGTCGGTTTTGTTTTTCTGTTAAGTCACTCCCCGATCAACAGTCTTTCTCAAGAGCATTCTAACTGGGGTGACTGAAATGCTTAAAACCCTCTCAATTTTTGAACAACTCTTGAGTTTAACCTACTTCCTTACGTAACGCGATCGGGTACGAAAGACAACAGACAGTTCCGAGCTCTGATGAATATGGCTGCAAACCAGCTGCCAAACTAACGTTTCCAGCTGTTTCGTTCAACACAACATTGGTCACTCTGTTCAATGGGAAAAGGGAGGTAAGGAACAACCTGTACTCAAATGGACCTCAGGTACCATACCACCTGACAAAGAATATCGTCTTGGACGGTTAAAAATACTTAAACATCACAAGGTCCATTCCTCGGCTGTCGCCGACAATTTTCCGGAAACAAACTTCCGAACGAAATCATCAAAAGTCTGGGGGGTTTTAAGGAAGTAATAATTCCAGTCGAGGGATGTTCGAGAATAGTTGATCAAGACTCGTACATACTTTTAAAAATCTAAAAAAGTACGCAATAAACAGCGATGTTTCAGCCAACATTAGCTTCGAATAATCTAGGGTATGTAGTAAAGTGCCATCAATCGATCGTATCACTTAATCATCATCACACGGCAAGTTTTACACGGACTGAGGCCAGATTTATTTACATTCAATTTGATTGTGATGAACACTTAACTGGATAGCGAATGTGGACGCTTTCAAAAAGAAACAAAGAACGCGACAGGAGCAAGCCTCACGCAATTCTGTTCGTGTGGCTCAGGATAAACACTTATTTGACTCCACAAATATAACCTAGTTGGGCCAAATCAGAATGAAGGAGGAACTCGAAATAATGGAGACATAATGCTCCATAATAAAGCAAGAAACAAGCACACCAAAGGAAAACCTTCCATTAAACTCCTAAAACGAAACAATGTCGGACAAACCTAACCCCAAGCCTTTCGAAGATACAAAAAGCCTTCAGCTTCAAAACCAGTCACAGGCGGAACAACATTCAGCGGATCAAAGCGACAAACATGTTAAAGGGTAGGATCTGTTAGGCAGAGTCC